AACTTATCGACTTCGGCCGAATAGACTTCGGCAAATTTTTTTAGGGTGTCCCAGAATTTATGAAAACAGCTGTAATTGGCTCCATTACAACCCTGGCCGAGACACCTTATCGTTATAGAAAATTAGCAGAATGATTATTTGGCCGAATCGATAAGTTATTGATTTCGGCGTGATCGGTATATAAAAGCTATTTTTTAATTACATTATCCCAATTGATGTCAAGTCTTCTAATTGTATCTAATAACTATTTTAACATTCTAATCAAAATTACATCTCTGGCTGTAGACAGATTTTCTTTCATTACAGCTGTTTTCATAAATTTTGGGACAGCTAAAAAATTTTCCGATGATCGAATCGATAAGTTACCGCCATCGACTGATATCAAAAACATATCGATTCGGTCGTCGACAGTTTTTTGTCATCTGTAAAATCGTAAGATATATCATTCGAGTTTAGTAAACGTGGTTTTCCTAAAGTGACGTAGGTATTTCAATACATCTAATTGCCTGAGAACTTGACTTATAAAGATTTGCTAACATCCGGTTTTTTTTCGAACTGATAATCCTTCTAAATTTTTTTTTCAAATATTTGCTAGCGAATATGCTTTGAAATATTGTATTTACAGCTGTTTTCGTAAATTCTGGAACAGTTGCAAAATTGCTGATTACCGAATCGATAAGTTTTTGATGTCGTACAACTTATTGATTTATATCATAGCTGTTCTCATAAATTCTGGGACAACTGAAAAATTTTCAGAAGACCTAATCGATAAGTTACCGAGTCTGAATCAACAAGTAACCGACTTCGGCCGAACTCAGAAACTTATCGATTCGGTCATCTGAAATTTTTTCAGTTGTCCCAGAATTTGAGAACAGCTGTAAACTCGGTAACTTGTCGATTGGCCATCAAAAAATTTTTTAGCTGTCCTAAAATTTATGAAAACAGCTGTAATCAGTGATATCTAAAATTATTTGGTTATCTGAACATTATCGATTATTGCGGTTTGCATAATTTTGTGACCCTATGATTATTTTTTTTTATTATTAAATGATCGTGATTGCGATCGTGATTTCTAAAGCCGGCCAATTTGCCATAAATCTGAGCTTGACACAAACTCAGATTCATGATAAATTGGCTGGCTTTAGCTATTGCGATCGCAATCAAAATCATTTAAACATATAAAAAAATAATCATAGGGGGCACAAAATTATGCAAACCGCAATAATGTCAATTAAATCTATCATCTTTGTAGAGAAACGTTATACTAATCATGTCCGAAATCAAAAACTAATCGAATCGGCAGAATAATCATTCAACTAATTTTTTGTCAGGCGTCACTGATGTCCCATGATTTATAATAATAGCTGTAGTTATATATTAGAGTTAGATAGTGATATACTTTAATAATCGTCTTTAAACTAATATCTTACTATTAAGTCTATCGTGTACCTTAACTGTTAAACAATCAGGTTGGTCGGCTCTAATTACGTGATCTGGGTCTCTTTCCACCACTATAAACCTAATAAATATACATATACAAACTGTTTACAATGAACTCATAATAAAAAATAATGATTTTCTATATATTTTATACCGAACTTATAATAAGTTTGAGAAAAAAGTTCTTTGTGTTTTAATGAACTTAAGGACGTGCCCAGATATTGACCAGGTGCTAGTTTAGAATAACTATTTATCATAAAAGCAACTACTAATATTTTTGCATCCATTTTTTTATATTTATACACAAAAACAACTGAATTCTGAACGCTCTTTGATCTAGATATGTTGCGAAAACTAATTAATTTAGTTCGTTTGGCCTCATTTAAAATTTTATACTCATTTTGTTTTATATTTCTTACATAATAAAGCTGTAGCAAAAGATAAAATTCCGACAAAAATAATTCCTCCTATATTTACGCAAATTTCAATAAATAGAGAATTATTGGGCAAAAGATTTTTCAGTTGGAAGACTCCATTGACTTGGCAAGGTTTTTTGCTTACTATTTCAGATTTATTTGGGTTAATCCAGACGTATATACATTATTGATATGCACTCCAGTTGTTGTAGATACAATTTTCCCTAATATATAAATATATAAATATATCAAATTTAAATAATTTTTACCAAAAATATGTTAAATTTAATATTGTAATTGCCAAAATGTAATTATCATAAAATTCTCATAATGCTGCGGAATGAAATGCAAGTGGCGGTGGTGAATTTTTTTGTGGAATACTTGGAACGGACCACATCCGGGTATTTGTATCTAATACTAACATATGTATTGTAAGTATTATTGGTAATAAAAATACAGTGATTTTGGTATAGTGATCGGAATATTTAGATATACATACTCAGAACAGCTGAATGACCTATTCGAGTTCCTATAGAATCACCATTGGTTACCTAAGGTTAAACAAAATATTCGTGAAATCATTAATTAGATAATTTATACCAAAATTTTATTTTTTTACATACTTTAGTAGACCAGCTTAAAGACTTTGAGTCAAATATTTGGATCTGTATTTTAATTTTGGTTAAGTAGTGAATTAAGTACTTATATATAACAATGATATAACCAAATCGTACCACACTCATATTGGCTAAAGCTAAGTCTGGTTCATATCCACCAATATAAATGATAAGACCAGTTGGTAACAATGTAGCAGTATAACACACGAGGAACAGGATCATTCCGGGACGAAGGAAGTGTTGACCATGTCATAGTAGTAGAATCAACATATCATTAAACAAAATTGAAGAATCATACTTTTTTCCACCAATAATAAAAATATTTCCAATATTATCAATAACCGCCTGTATCTCGTAACGCATCGTAAAGCTATCATTAAAATTAATAATATTCAGTGTGTCCATTTCTGCATTGTGTATTAGAATCAATTGCATATGAGAATACATTTGAAGAATAAAGTAGATAATTTTCTATATTTAAGGTCATTTTTGTAACTGAAGCAAACATAGCTCCACCGATTATAAAAATAATGGAATTATTAACGAGACTGACACATGAACCTAGAAAATTTGCTACTGGCATTTCAATAACTTTATGCTATGAAGGATTTGTTGTATTAAATTAACTTGATAAATTAAATAAATTAAAATTACATTCTTCGTTGGTAACAATAGAATCTTATTACCAATTAGCACACTAGTCTGCATCCATCTAGGTTCAGGAACATTTTGACAAAATGTGAAAGAAATATTAAATAAGAATAAAAATAAAAATATCTCATGCTAAAATAAGTGCTATATAATCTTAGAGTGTCATTTATTATTAAAAAGAGCAATGCTAAAATCTTTTTATCGCAATATACGTAAATATGAATAGGTGCACAAATATAAAAGGGTTGTATTTAGCAATCAATGTGTGAAATTCAATTTTGATTTTATGTTTTTCACTGGAAGCATTTTTTCAAACCCTTATTGTTTTCAAAAATTTTTTAATATTCTCAATATAGAAAAATTAAACTTGTATAATATCAAATAAAAAATCTATTTAATGTTCTCAGAGTATATATATTTTAATAAATTGGTTCCTAAAATTTTTGATTAGTGTTCTCGAGAACATTGGGACATTGAATTTCGCACAATGATTGCAATTAAAATTACTGTAACAAGTAAAATTAAGTTCAATAGGGGGCAATACGTATTATTTTGACGCTTCGCAACAAAATTGGACCGGCAGATCCTCGATTTCGATTGACTAACGGCCGAGGATCTTCAAAATTTTGGCTCACATTACAAAATTGTTTACTAATTTCCGGCCGGGATTAACTTTTTAATTTTTTCACTACAAAAAATAGAAATTTTTAAAAATTAAGTTCACATTATGGTAAAATTGGCCCAGGAACAATTTTCACTTACAGCTATTTTCATAAATTCTGGAAAAATTGACCGACCGAATATTTGCCGATTCGATTCATTACTTATTTTCAAAAATAAGTAGAGGTACAAAATATCCTATTCTGTTTGGCAGAAAATGAAATAGGAGTTATCCGGCAAACTCATATGATCATGAAAAAATTTCTTTTTGTTATTTTTTTCATGTGTCACTATGTAATTATGTTTTTCCAATATTACTTTTCTATTACTTCTACAGTTGAAGGTCGCTTTTAACATTACATTTCCCTTCTACTTTAAACTATAATTAGCAACATGCTGAATTTACTCATCTAATTTTATTCATCTAATTTTATCGTGTAAATTTCTATATCATATATCTCGTAAACAAAGTACTGTATTTAAGAGTTTAATTTATAATACGACATACGTCGCCAAATAACTAATAATTTCTGATTTATCGTAAAAACTTTATTTATTTGTTTATTAACCGTAAAAACCATCTTTTTATTTATTTTTTTAATTTATTTATTATATACCCCTGAAATCCACACGGAACCCATTTTCTCTCACTAATGTCTGGATTTAAGTCCCTCCGCTCTGCTTCGGAATTATTTATATTTGATGGGATTATACAAAGATTGAAGCCATTTAGAAAGAATTCTCTCACCATTTGTGGTAGTTTCACATGGAATTTCTTCAATACTAAGACGGCTTGAAAATTTAGAAAAATCTAACCAATTCTATAACGAATACATTATTTATTCTTCATTTTTATCTTTGCTAAACGAACGCGTCTCTTGTTAACAATAGTAGTAGAATAATGGTGGGAACTACGGTGACATTAAATAAAGTTAAATATTATCATACTCTATGTGTTAACGTTAAATTACCATATTTTAGTGGTTTTAATCGAGATATTTAGTCTTTATGTTGGTCATTCTACTGTTCTAAAGATTACATATGTATGTACTAGAGTTGCAGGTGAAACTAATCTTCAATGGTGCACCGATGGTGCACCAGGTGAAACTGGTGCATCGATGGTGTAGATGAAACTAATCTTCAACGGTGCACCGATGGTGCACCAGTTTTCTGGTGAAATTAATTAGTTTCACCAGCAACTCTAGTACGTATGCCAAAATTAATTGACTGGCGTGAAATAATACGCAGGAGTGTAATTTCGAATTTTGGTCTTTATTCAAAATAACGCCCCTGTGTGTTATTTCGCGTTTATACGGTAGATAATGAAAAAAATATATATTTACTACTCTTTGCTGTTCATAAAGATTTGTCCGGTTTACATTAGCAGTACTACAAAGAATTTCTCACTAATAAAGTTTCACGTTACATTTAATCGATTAATCAACTAATCGATTAAATCGATTAACCGATTGTACTGACTAATCGATTACGGGACACTTAAAGAACAATGAACCCAGTGATTATCACATCATGTGAAATCATGGAATGACGTCATTTGTTTACCAGCACTAACAAATTAGGCCTAAACTATACTATCACCTAACCCTAACACTAACCCTAACTTAGGCCGAGTGTTTAACCATGCGATGTGATAAACACGAAGATATCACTGGGTTCACTCTTCTTGAAACTACCCTCGATTACTAGTTCTAAAATAATAGTAGTTATGTATTATCAGTTAGGTATTTAATTCGATATCGTACTCTCAATATAAATGACAATCGAATTCTTTAAATTTTCATAACTTATATGCAATTTTCATTCCATGCCCACCTGTTTAGAGTAGCTTCTCTAGGTAATATTATTTGTTGTTTTATTATAACGATAATTGTGTTGCTTCATGAGAATATATATATATATATATATATATTAAGACTAACTAATCGATTAATCAACTAATTGACTAGTTAGTTAATCGATTAATCAACTAATTGACTAATTAGTTAATCGACCAGTCGATTAGTTAGTCAATCGATTATCGGGTTAATCGATTAATCGATTTTCGATTTGGAACACTATATTATTGATAATTGAGATTGCAGCAATTGATATATTTATAATTTATTCTAACTATAATCTTCAAATTTGATGGAGTGATCTCTCAGATACGGTTTAGTATATGATTCATGGTTATGGATGTTATTAAACTGTCAAATAATTATCTTTATATCCACTCACTATATTTACGCAAATAATAATATAAAGGTTATTTTATGTTAAAATAAATGCACAAACTTCGGAATTTTTTTTGATATATATTATTTTTACTTTTATCAAATCAATTTAATTTTTATTCTCATTTAATTAAACTAATTCATTATGGGGTTAAAGTATATTAGGTTAAAAATAATCTGACGGCTTCCTAAAAAAGTTGTATCTGATCTTGATAAATTGGCATACTATTGGCATAGTAAAAAAATTTGTGATAGGTGAAATTCAGTAATTTAGTCTTAGTCTTCACAACAAAAACACACCTACGAAAACAACTCTAAAGATAGTGTGTGCGATTTGGGATACGAAGAATTAGGTCTCTCGGTACCATTAGAGGTAGTCTTTATTAACTGTTAATTTATTGTTTCCTTAGTTACGAGAAGTTAAAGAAATTTTATACATGATTACGTCGAGACACTTCTGCTATTAATATAGTAGTTAGTGCGTTTAGTACAGATATACCAGGAGATTCTGTCTATTACAGTATTAGCTTTCCTCATAACGAACAACAGAATAAGTGAATACTAGAAGAGAAACCGGTAAAAATCCGGATGGCGCAAGGATAAATCAGTAGGTAACACAAATTAGTGAATATCATCTTTTCTTTTTGAAAAAAAAAATTATTTTAGCATCGAGCAATTTTTGAGCATATATACATGACTATGACAGATAACGCCATTTAATAAACAACCAGAAGGACTTCGCCTTATCTAAACCCGAATTAGCATCTCTTTCAGCATTTAAACAATGGGCCGCAGAGTCATGGGTCTATATACATTGTTTTTACATAGTGTATAAAAAATAGAATGAATTACTAAATAGAGCAAGTTACACGGAAGGTGATAAAGATAGCACGGAAAATAGATTTACAATAATGTACTTTGTGAAATGGGATTAAGTACTGAAGTGCACTAAATAAACTCGAAGCCTTCACATTTTTTTATCCCACAGCTTAATATTATGTCTTACATAATAAAGATATTCTTAAAAATTCCGTATCATGCAATTGATCTGATTATCGATCACACTCCTTCGCAGACAGCATGGTGGACAAGTCTCGTAGCACAAACTTCCCACGCTGACTCAGGGTCGATCTGCTCAATAAATGTATGAAATTTATCGATCACATGCACAATTTTTTTGTAAATAGTAAAATCTCCCCCCTCCCAAATGATTACGATTACATATAAATATATATAAATGACAATACTACAAGTTTTTATTTACAATATAAAGGATATCTCACAATCCAGCAGTCATGATTTGATGAATTTGATACCACTTGATTCACCTCATTTAGACGAATCTAATGGTATAAAAATTATTAAATCCCACCTACTGGATCGCAAGATATCTTCGATCTCACATAAAATTTGTTTCTAAAAAAACCTCTAATTTTGGGATTATTTTGGATTACCGTAAAATCCCGAATAAGGATTTAGTCGGCTAAAAAATTTTTGTAGTAAGCTACTATGTTTAATCGACTAATTAGTCGACTAAACATAGTAGTCGACTAAACCGATTCCGATCCCTAATCCCGAAAATAAGCACCACACCCTCTGCCCTATTTTTTAAAATCTGATTAACGGGATAAAGACTTTATTGCTATTTCCACTAATCTGAGGTCTAAAAAGTAGGGTAGAGGGTGTGGTGCTTATTTTCGGGATTTTACGGTATTTTTAATAAAATGTAGATTTTTGAGTGCTTTTTTTGCACGTAGGCTTTGAAAAATCACAAAAATAAAGTGTACTTTAACGCATATAAAAAGTTCAAAAAATTTTTTTATTCAATTGTGCTGATCACTTCCAAATTCGAACTTGTCCACCATGCTTTCGCAGACCAATTTATGGATATTACGTTACAATAATATACGAATCCGTGATATTTGGATGCTTACCTATCCACTTTAAATCTGTGAGAAAATTAGAACATGAAACAATATAACCGTAATTGGGATAGCTACCCAAATTTTATATGACATAAGGTTACTACGTACATACCTTTACCTGACGTTTCGTTATTAATATCCAATCGGGTTAAAAGTTTTCGTGGAAATTTCGCCAGGCAAGGCTTCAGGCACTATAGTAATATATTGGTCATTTAAAAAGTGTCTTTATTGATACATAATTATTGCTATCGTATAGCATTTAATTTTTTTAAAAAATGACACTTCAACAATTGGCATTGGTGCAGTAAATGGCTGGCATATTACGTGCTATAGTGTCTCAAATATGCGGACGGGTGCATAGTGCCCGAGATTTTTATAAAGAAATCGTGATTTGAACCACCCTAGCATCCTCAACCTAAAAAATTTCGCAATTGGACCGAATTAAAATTTAATATCAGGTGTAACATAAAATAAAACTAAAAATACCCTAACCCTAACCTAACCCTAACTCTGGTAGCGAAGTTTTTTAGGTTGGGGATGCTAGGGTCATACGTGAATTGTTTGGACTGTCCTACCTGAAACAAATCTCAATATTTAATAGGAATCTTGAGGAGTTAGAATATTGATCCGAACGCGTACCTATGACAGATAAGTTATAACCTTACGACCTATCATGACATAAATTTATTATTCGTATGGCTATACTATTCTATTCGGTTTAGTCATATAAAACTTTAATATGACGTAAAATGGCCCAACGCGTGCGTACGTTACAGATGCAAATCGACCATGACAAACTGATTTAATCAATAACGCTATATAATGGTATTAAAGTAAATTAGCAATTGATTTTTACGAATTTTATTATTGGGAAACTATAATTTATTTAGCTTTAAACTATTTATTTGTCATTTTATATAGTTTTAGATTCACGTGTGATTTTGTTTACGTATTTTTTCGTTAGCGTTTAATGTTAGTGATTTTAGCATTAAAAAAAAATCTTTTATCAAAATGTTTCAATTTAGCGTTAGAAATACATACTATGCAAATAGTGATGAAACTACGCACAAGGGTTAAAAATAGGCGATGCTTAAGTCTCATTCAATAATTTACAGTATAAAGAATTTTTAAATAGGACAGTCAATCCCAATAGTCCCATCACTGCGTATATAGATTCTCGCTCAAATATATTATTATTGATTGCTGGTACAATTAACGATGCTGTTATCTGCTTACACAACTCCATGTTATATGTATATATGACGTATTTAACATTTTTAAAGTTCCGAAACAAAGTTAAATATTTCATTCATAGTGATAAAATCGTAATTCTTTTCAGCCCTACAATCATTACTGTGCACAAAATTCCTTTTCGGAATACAATGACAGTTTTTTTTGGCGTATATAAATAAATTTCGGTTACTTTTTTCTGAAAATTCTCACGAAATCGGTTCTTTATTTCTTTTACTAAATATGCAAATTAAAGGTTTACCGCAAGTGTACGAGCAATATGGTAATAATAATCTTTTTTTTTTTCATGAATGAAATGATAAATTTTTTTTGTTTAAATATTTTGTTTTTGTTTTAAAGATACGACACTTGAAGTAGAGAACTCACAAAATAGTGATGGTTTTTCTGTCATATCAAGCGTCGATCAAAGTACGACTTCCAGTCGCTCTAATAGTCCGCCAATTCAGATTAATAATTCTCAATCAACAAATGATTTTTTACAACAAGAGTTAAGCTACATTAATGAACGCACGGAAGATGATAAAAATTCGATTCCTAAAAACGATGATCAAGATGAAAGTTCGATTCCTAAAAACAATTATCAAAATGATGTAAGTTCGATTCCTAAAAATAATGATCAAGCTGCGATCCATACCCAAAATATAAATGTTACGCATTTTTCATCTACATCACAGGATGGTCAATTTACGAATTCGTCTCGTGCTAATAATTCACCTCCTGCTGGACTGAATGATGACCCGTCTAATTATTTCGATGATATGACGGAGATTTTATCTGAATTAGACAAGAATCAGAACGAAAAAGTGCAATCACCTACTACAGACCAGGCTGTCGATCAATTTCTAAACATAACTGACAAGTCACGTACCCAAGAGAACGTAGACGTTGATTATAAGAAACATATTCGTGCTGCTATCGAAAGTCATAAATATTATAAAAATGATCCAAGCATTAATATTACATATGGGAAAGATCTTTCTGAATATATTCCTGGCCTATATCGTTTATTGGATTTGTGTAAAGATGATGGTTCAATTGGTCTTGGTATTTAAGCTATTCCTTAACTTTATCCTATTTTGTAATTATAATTGTTTTATATTCTAATTTATTTATCAATATTTCTCCTGCAAGTTGATAAAATCATCATTTCTAAAGATTCGCTCAAGAAACTTTGTAACGATATGGTACCATACAGCTTTACTTCGATCTCTGACATTGAATACAATAGATTGAATACAATTTCATTTCGTCTTGTTGGCTGCTATGGAAATCACTTGTTAATTGCAAAACTCTTGCTAAAAATGAACATAATAAATAAAAAACTGTATGTTAATATATCTCTTGCTATTTTATTTATATTAAAAAAAAATTTTTTTTTTCTAAATTTTTATATTTTATTTGTATTTGCAGTTTGAATTTGCTTACAATGTCACGTTCTTCTGGGAGTAAACAAGAAACTGAAAATCAACCAACTCTTCGATCTGGAATCTATCTATTAATGGTTAATCCTGACATTGGTTTAGTAATTCATTGGCCTGAAATAGGATGTTATGAAGACAATGCTTCATCACAAAAGAAGAAGAATATGACTAATCTTCACAGGTAATAATTATTTATCACATTTTTTTTGTCGCTGTTTCTTATAAATTCTAATTATTTTTGCCATATTATCACTACATTTTTTAGATATCTTACTAAACTCACCGATCAACAAATTTGTTTTATGAGCGAAAAGGATTTGGAAAATTTCAATTGGGGCATGGAAAATGATGAACAAGATTCAGACGATGAAGAAAATAATATGTGTTATGAATTTGAAGTTAAAAAAAGTCAAGAAGAACAAGAAGATTTTAAACTACACCCAGGCTTTACGGTAAAGTTACTGACTATTCAATTATTATTCAATGATTTTAAACATTGCTGGTTTCATATTCAAGTATTATTTATATCTTTTTCTGATATTCAGATTAATCTTTTATCCAACGTAAAGAAAGAATTAGAAAACAAGATTGACAATTCATTAACTCCTATGGGTATTGACTGTTCATTAAATGTCTATTTTCTTGCCACATTCCATATTGTTGCTAAGATATTTGTTTGATTAACATTTTTCAGTTGTCGAATCTGCTTACAACCAAACATTCATTACGCGGAAAAAGATCACGTCCGCCTTCACTATGAAAAGACTAACCCCAACCATACACAAATCCTCGTTTAAGAAAGAATTCCAAACCCGTGCGCAAGGATATGCTATAGAAATTGATCGTAGAATGAAGATGAAAGCTTTAGAATTTTTAATTAAGAATGGATTAGATCAGGAAAAGGAACTTTTGAGTCCGTTACGGGATGCCATCGATGTAGCAAAAAAGGACAATGATTTAAAAAAAGAAATAGAAAAGAACGCTATCAAAACAGATGCCGAACACGTTACAGCTATGTCACGAGAAAAAGTGAGAGAACTATACGGGTATAAAATTAAAAATTACATTATTTGCCTCATGCATTACAATTTAATTCGAATTTTGACAATAATTACTTTATTGCGAATGTTATCATTATAGTGAATTTGAACTTCGGTTCAATAAAACATCAATAGAAGCTCCAAATGTCCAAATTGAAGATTCTAGTACGTATGAAATTTTCGTCATTTATGAAATCACATAATATGGTTATTAATTATATATTTGTTTAATTATAGTCGTTGAGCGTATTAATGCTAAATATCCTGATATGCAACAGAAAATTACGAGAGTAACCAAAATTAATTCTAATACCTGGAAAAAATTAAAGACGCGATATTTTTTTGCAAGATTGATCACTACCCAAGCATATAAAGCAAATACAGATACAACTGATGAGAATAAAATCGAGATTGGTCAATCTACCCTTAAACTATTGTATTCCATATTTATGGATGAAGAAACTGATATGCATAAAGTTGTTAAAAAATACACTGATAAAAAATACTCTGAAGCTCAAACAGGATTCATCAACATATTTACTTCATTTACCTCGCTCTTTTATTCTAATTCAAACTCAAATATTGATTCTAGACGCATAGATGACTCATTAAAGGAGGCAGACGAGTTTACCAAGAGGACAAGCGACACTACTTTTATTCAAACCCTATATAAGAAAACTCCCAATGAAGAAATTAGACAAGGGATCATCGATGCTTTCTTCCGTGAATATTCAAAATGGAGAAAAGATACTTTTATTGCCGACGTCAAAGGAATTTTACCTAAAAGTTCTGGTCAATTGGGTAAAGATATAGATCGCAAATTAGATGAAGAACTTACATTATTGAAGCGAGAGCTGGAAGATCGTGAATTTGAAAAAATATGCAAAAAAATTGAAGAAAATTATTCAACAGGGTATGATACAATCATTTTTAAATCTATATTTAATTTTGCATTACTGTTATTCATTTAAATATTCGTTACTATAAATATATTTAGGCGTAAACTCAAGATAATAGACATCATTGGTAATTAGAATTTCAAACCTTTGGTATTATACTTTATTTTTTTAAAAAAAAATTAATGAACTGATAATAATATTTTTTATTCTTACTAAAGAATCCTACTATTATACATCATTTCACTTCACCTATGAGATTGAAACGACACAACCTGATCAATTGCAAATTACTATTTACGAGACATCGTTGGAACAATCTGATGCCTTTGAAGTACAAGAGAATGAATTACATGTACCTAGACCTAGGTTGTTTACAAACCCTTATGGACAAGCAGGAACATCTTTTCACATTAATCCAGATGTGTATGAAATGAGGTATGTACTGTGTAGTTTTTAAATTACTAAAATTTTTATCAATTAAAAGTTTAATTTGATGTTATTACATTCTGTTATAAAATTAGAAAAATTTCTCAATTTGAAAATAAAAAATACTTCATTATCCTATGGAACAAGAAACACCCACGATATGAAATCTTTTTTGATACTCCATCACGCCTTAAATCAATATTCAGTTCCGATTCTCCAAAGACTTTTAAGCCGTTAAATACAGAAGAACATTGTATGTTTGCTATTAATGAACCACGAGGCTTGATTGGCATACTTCATACACAAAGCGGAGTGGTAAGTTGTAACGCACCTAACATTATGATTAAATATGATTATAGTCTAACTTTAATTTTATTCTGATATTTTAGCTAAATGTTTACGCATTTGATGAAGGATATACTAATCTATTTCCACGCAATTCAAATGTTCAAATATTACAATGGTACAACTCTAAGGCCCCAGATATACAACATTTCTTCTTCATTAAGGATACTGAAGAATTATGCTTTGTGGAAGTTGGAGGACGAGCGCGCATCTATAACCTTGTTAATGGCCAATTTCGTCCAGGAATAGGGCAAGTTCCAGCCAATGCAACAAATGTCATGTCTACTCCTGATGGTGCATGTATTGTTGCTTTTGTGAAAGAAACGTTACAAGTAGAACAACCACTTAAAAACGATGACGAGGAAGAAGAAGAAGATTCTTCCGATATTAATGACGATGTTAATGAAACTACGAGTACTCCAAAAGTTGAAGAAAAATATTTCGCGTATATATATTTCTGTACAAGCTTTGGAAAACCTAATGCCAACAAAGGTATTTAAATTTACATGATATGTAAAAAAAAATTTATCTACTTACATATTTTATTTTACTAATTTTAATAGTCATCGAAATGCCTCCAAACATGCAGTCTTTTGAATACCACCAGTTTTCTTTCATCAATAAACGTCAAATCCATATAACAACTCTTGACATCGAGAATGGTTCATTCTGTTCATCAATTGTAAAAATTACTCTTGAAAAAACACAATATCGTTTCCAACAGAGGTCACAAAAAAGATCTCTGGGTCAAGCAAGACTATCTACTTCTCGAAATAAAAACTTTTCTATTGTTGAAGGGAAGAATACAAATTTCACAAGGGATGTTCGCGAAGGAGAAATCTTTGTATTATCGGGTGAAAAACATAATGTATTAGAGATTATTTCAGATACAAAATTAAAGATTTCTAAATCTTCTCAACCGGCAAACAATGAATGGTCGGAATTCAGAATTGAGCCAAAAACAAACCTTAACGGTCTTATCGATGCCTACAGAATGATGTTTGAGAAATACCCAGTTGACAATTCTATTGATATAGAACAAACTCGACCTTTAACTTTACAAATTGCTTTGGATACGCAGGATGATGATAAAGTTGAAGATTATAAAGATAAATTTGAAGATTATGTGGCCGAAATGTTTGAAGAGTTAAAACGATCAACAAAGAAACCGGCTACTTCTCTAAAAAAGTATTATTAAGCAATTCATTTAAAATTATTTGACTACTTTCATAAACATAATATATATTATATTTCGTTATTTTTCAGGTTTACTGTAACGGCTACTAATTTTAATGATTTCAATGTTGTTGATTCTAAGTTCCAACGAAAAAATACCACTGAATATCAACTTGGAGAGTATGTATCTATGTGTTTAAATAATTGAATATTAATTGTTACTAATTTCATTTCTCTTTAATAATATCAAGATGGATAATCCAGTTATCAGTCTTAATTCCTATTCAAATCGCTGTTGCACGCAATAATATGTTCACTCCACTAAGAGATGGTTTGTCGTCAGAGGTTGAACATGCAGACCTTGAAGATGGTTACGCGAGACATGTTGATGCAATTGCGCAAAATATAAGTTTTGGATGGTATGAAGGCATATTTAAACATTTTGGAAATCGACAAGTTAAAGTAGTTAGTTCAATGGGTGAACAAAGTTGTGGAAAATCGTAAGTTTAATTTATAACTTATCATTTTTATAATTAATTTGGTAAATTTATAATTTAATAAATTTCTTGTTTAATAGTTATATGCTAAATCATCTGGTTGGAACAACGTTTGACGGTTCTGCGATGGTAAGATCTATTGATCATATATTGGATTTTATACATGACATATTTTTTATGTTATTATTGTGTCTTATTAATTTAGCGTTGCACTGAAGGAGTATGGATGTCATTAGGTATATATCTAATCCTATGCGCATTAATTGAATATAAATTACTTACACCATTACTACATATACTAATTAAACATAGTTATCACTAAACAATACTTATACGTTGCTCTGGATTTTGAAGGACTCAAATCCCTTGAACGAACGCCTCAAGAAGGCATGTAAACCTCTTACTTATGTTGTATTAATGTGCAAAAGCTAACATTTTAAATTTTATAATTTGTACAGATCTATTTTTAACTTTATTTAACACTGTTGTATCAAACATGATCCTTTTCAAGGTAAATTGAGATATCATTTATATTTATCGTATTAGATAATTTTAATTTATCATTTATCTAAAATTTATTTTGGATTACACAATAGAATCAATTTGCTATCAATAGAGATATGTCAACAATGTTTCAAAGGTTCCAAGACGGTGCAACATTTTTTGAATCTGATCCAAAGATATTTCAGGTGCTGTATACAAATTTGAGTCAATAAAATCACGTTCTGGATTAATTTGTTATAATATTTTATAGGCAAAACTTTGTATCATTATTAAAGACGTGCCAAGACAAGATCGTGAAGACATTGTTAGAGAGTTTTCGTTAAAATTTAATACTTTGGTAGCCGAGGTTAGTTAGATAAGCATTTAACACAATTTATATAAAACTACTTATACGTGTAATATAAGTACTTATTAAATTCAATCTTATTTTAGGAAGGTGAAGATAATTTCATAACTCGGATGTACCCTAGTGGATTGAATATCACTCCTTGGCCAATTTTTAATGATTCTGCATGGTTCAAGAGTTTAAAAGATCTTAAAAAGCTTCTTGACAAACAAAAACCTAAATATGAGAACGCACGTATATTTTTGCAAAATACAAAAGTGATTATGGCTAAATTGAAGGTTAGCTTTATTTTATTTTATAATTTGACTTTCCTTTCTCGTGTAATATATTAAGGGATCTTTTAATGTTACAGATTTGTGATTGGGGATCTTTAGATGAAAACCTAGTTCAAATTCGTGTTGCAACACTTAAAAGACTTCTTCCAATAGCTGTTGCATTTGGTGTTGAGCAAAAAGATCAAGTTATTGAACATTTATTGGTAAGTTATATATTAAAATTTCGACCGTGTTTAAACATATACACTAAATTAAAAATCTTTTTAAGAATCGTGATACAGGTCATTGTATTACAGATCCTACTGTTCCAATATCTGATATATTTGAAGACTTAGATAACACAGCAAGTTTACTTCCTGATGCAGAAATTTTACTATTCGATGAAAGTAAAGACTTTATTCAACTTTCGGATTATCTAAGAGCTTACTTTGAAGAGAATATACAACAACGTAAAGAGGCGCAGAATGATAGTATATGGTTTAACCATTTGGGAAAATTCTTTAAATATATTGTTGAACGTCGAGTCTTGCGTGTTCAAGAATGGTTTACACAAAATACTGATAAATTTCCGCAGGATAATAGTGATGTTGTGATTGGCCGATATGCAGTTGAACAAGAAATGAATAAGCTTACAATTCTTTGGACATTATGTGGTCTTACTTGCAATGATTGCAACCTTAAATGTTTAGAAAATCGTGATCATGAAGGAGGACATAATTGTCTGACTGATCATACATGCCACACTACTTGCCAATTTACTGAAGCACATATCGATAAAAATCACATCCCACTATGTAGTCACAAAGCTGGTCATGAAGGTTAGTTAAATACCATAAGATATATTAACTTATTTATTATACATATTAAATCTCTAATTAAATTTTACAGGAAAACATGCATGTTCGCAGATCAGCCACTTGTGTGGAAAACCTTGTCGCTTTTCAGATAAACGAAATTGTCAAAAAAGGTGTTCTAAGGAGATTGGTCATGAAGATGACGATGAAGACCATTTATGTCAATCTCCAGTAAATAATAAAATTAATTTCTTTTTTTCTTTTTTTATTTGCGAGCTTGAACTTCTAACTTTTCTTTTTCTTACATTAGCGTCATTATTGTGGAGCACCATGCTCGTTAGTTACCAACACATCAAAGGGTGATTATAATTGTCCTAACAAATGTATTATACCATGCGAAGAGCAGCACGATTCTCATAGGGTATCTTATATCATTTTAAATTAATTATCCACGAAATAACGATATAATAATTGACAAAATTAATCACCTTACAGTGCGAAAATGAAACGTGTCCTATTCCATGTCCGATGAAAGATTGTCAACGACGTTGCAAAAGCGACGATCATTTTCATGCCTACTCTGGAATTTCTGTCAATCACTTTTGTGGGAATGAACATCAATGCCAAGAATCGTGTGAAGATCCTGGATTATGTAAAGTCCAAACTGAGCCGAAGAAACAAGAAGAAGTCTATAAGGGACTTGTTGAAAATACCTCAATTACTTTTATCAAGGTATAATCTAGCGAGGTTTCTTTGTGATGTTTTGATTAGTAAGGCCAGACCGACTTGATTTTTTGTTTAACATAACATGAGATGTCTTGTAAGAGGGGAGCAATTTTATTGTTAAATTTAATACCTATAGATTTTAAAAAAATAAATAAAAGGGGGTTATTTAATTGGATCCTATAATTTTGAAAAATTGAGGGGGGTGGGGTTATGTTAAGCAGAAAATCAAATTGGTCCGGCTTAGCTTAAATAAATAAATAAATAAATTAACTTTTTTTTCAGTATATTCAAGTAAGTGAGAGGTTACAGTGTAGTAGAAAGATTCCACCAGGCTCATTCAGTCATACGGGAAAGCACTCCCATGATCCAAATGGAGAAGGTGTACATTATTGCGATAAAAAGTGTAAGTAAATAAGTGTATTTGTAAATATTCTATTAGTTATTAATCTTTATTTTTATTAAAAACAGGCAGCTTTTGTGAATATTACGTAAGTTTAATTCACTATTCTTTTTGGTTATATTTTGCCTATATTTCATAATAGTTTATTAAAATATGTTAATGTTTATTTTAGTGTACTTTGCCCTATGGACATATACAAACCTTACATGAAACACGCCATGGAAATATGATCCAAACAGAATTCACTGCAGAAGATAACGAGTTTGAATATGGAGGGTATGCATAAAGTTTTCATGAATTATTTAATATAAAGCATAGATCTTTATATCTCCTTTAAATTTGCTACTTATAGTCATAAATTAAAAGCCGGGGATGAGGGAACTTTTGTTTTGTGTAATTTGGTATGTATTTTATATTATTGATTGTTTTATTGTATTGTTATTTTACTTATTACTTTTATAATTTTCAGCATTGCAAGGAATTAGGTAGACATCGACACATTGACTATTGTCAAAACCCGGATGCATGTAAATTCAGCACAAATCAGAATCAAGATATCCAGCATATCGATGGTTTGTATTTTTGAACTCCTAATTTATTCTATCTTGAATTTTACTAAATTTTTTTATTATAGGTCGAGTTCATCCTAATCCAGATGAATCGAAAGATTTTATATCTCACCGGCTCTTTTGGGAACGTACTGGTTTTAAAGGTTTGTAGCTGAATTATTAATTTATTCTTAAAGAATTTGTATTAAATATTCTAACCTTGGTCGTATAATCAATTAGATCCGTACACTGCTCAAGAACAACAGGAATTTTCTAGATGCGATCATGAATGTAAAGATGAAAAACATCATAAATCACAAAATCCAAATGGTCCACCTCCATCAAAGTCCTATTGTGAATTGCAACTTTTCCACGCTCCAGTTGACCCATCTCAAAATCCACCAAATGGATATGGATATGTTTCTTTAGACGGGCACGTAAGTTAAAATGCAAAATAAATTCTTTTTCTGAAAATGTTAAAAATTATTCGCAGAATATATACTTAAGTTTTATTTAAACCCAACTTTTATACTTTATAAAGCACTTTAATTGCGAAAATCCAAGTACAAGAGAAGCTGCATTTCACATAATTTTTGTTTTAGATCGGTCTGGATCTATGAATGAACGTGATAGGAGGCCACTTCAAAATACACCAATTTATAATACTCTTACCCAAACTCATAATAATAGGCTTGGTGCTGTTTATAATGCAGTAAGAATCTCTATAATCTTTATTTAAATTCGGATAAATTTACTTTTTTATTAATCCACATGTTTTATAGGTTCATTCATTCTTAACTACACGATTTACAACACAAAATGCACTATCTACTACACTTAATACTGTTGCAGCTTCTCGAGATACAATTTCTTTAGTCCTTTTTGACCATGAAGTAGTCGTTGGAATTGAAAATGAGCCATTATCCAATCATAATAGCTTTATAAACACTATGCTTCAATATAATGCAAGAGGCGGAACCGATTTTAATAAAGCGATTCAGAAGGCCGGATTTTTAATTGAAAAACATTTTGATCCCACCAAGTGCGTGAATGAATTGTTTTCTTTTTAAAGAAATTTTTTTTTTCTAAATCTTTAGCTCTAAATCTGTTCAATTCTTTTAGAACGAGTGTTGTCATATTTTGTTCAGATGGAGAGTGCGGAATACCAGATGGGCAACTAAATCATATTTGTTCGAAAAATAAAGAAAGAGGGTAAATAGCTTTTATATTCATAAATTTAAATATTTACCATAGTAACGATAGAATATATATTTATTTGAAAATAACATCATTTATGAATTTTATAGATCTCCTATATTCCTCCAAACTATTTTGTTCAGCAGTAATTCAATGAGTCCATCATTGCAAAAAATGGCAGACATTGCACAAAAATATCTTCCACAGCAAACCTCTTCGGGGTCGTTAAAATGCCAATTCACAAGAGCTATTGATGAGGTTAACCTAGTTAATACTTTTACTGGAGTAGCAGAAAGTTTAAGAAAACATAAGCCAGCATTGTTAAGAAAGAACATATAAGAGCTCAATAGCGGTTATCTTTGATTATTTTTTTCTCAAGCGATTATAATTCTTTGGTTATTTTATCTATATATTTTCATATGCAAATCAGTGAAAAAAATTTTTTTTGTTTTTTGAGGACATAAATTAATAATTTTGTGTTCTCAAAAAGTTTAGATGCAGTGTTCTTAAAATTTTTTAAATCTTCTTGAAAACATTGAGAACATTTGATATCAAACACTAGTGCGAATGCATTTTAAGATGTCAAATAGTGTAATCTTGTAGAAAATAAATCTTGTTAATAAAATACTAGGCGCATTGTAAAGAGATATATTTGAAAATAGGAAAACCACCAATCTGCTAGTATTTATACACGTATATACCGTAGTGCATTGAAATATCTGGATATTTCATATGGCATATTTTAACTGGGGATAATATCCCTGTATTTTGCACAGCACTTTTCATATTACCAATATCGATTTCTACATTACATATATAAACCGTACAAAGTACTCCATACAATTTTAGTGGGTATTTTGCATTAGACCTAAACGAAATGTTTCTGTAGAAAATTTATTAAACAGTATAAATTTATATACCTTATTTTCGCGTAATAACGCTCATGAGCGTTATTTCGAAAATCGTGCCTCCTAAAAATAATATATATAGTTTCAAAATAACGCTCATGCGCGTCTCAAAATAGCGCGCACCCATAGTAGAGGATGTTTATTTATAGTAAGATTTGGATTTAAACTTTCGAACTTCAACAAAAGTTGTTTTTCAGAACAACTTTTGTTAAAGCTCGAAGGAAGGTTTACTTAGTACTAAATCCAGTTATACAATATTTATATAAAATTTTTTAATTGTCTCAAAATAACGCTCATGCGCGTACTCGAAATAACGCGCAAGTGAGCGTTATCAGTGTTTCTCAATAATCACTAGTTTAAATTCAATGAAAATTTTTTTATTTTAATTCTACAAATATATAGAATTAAAATAAAAAAATTTATCGAATTTGATCGGATATTTATTAAAAAAAACCTCACTCAAAAATCTTTGGACAATGAAAATGTACTACGCGAAAATACGTTAGACGCGCTCTTCCCGGATAAGGTAGAAAATGCAGATGACATTGGGTCGGCCATTTAATTGACTCAAATCATGCCACAAAGCGGTATGATCTGAGTCAATCAAATAGCCGCTAAATGATGCTGACCCAATGTCATCTACATTTTCTACCTGATAACTATTAATTATCTAGTTAGAAACTTCCTTAATAGCTTATTTTTATTCTTGATTCCAAAATGGAATTATTTCTTACTTCTTATACTCCTATGATATTTCCTATTAATATCTTCACTGCTTTATATAAGCAAGCTGAAACAGGAGAATAGACGGGCAACAAAAAAAAAAGAGTTGAAAATTTCAAGGAAATGCTCAATAGAGCAATAGATAACATGAGGTTAGAACAGTGATACATCATATTTTTTCGTAAATGTTGCATATTCGCAGAATTTATAAACTTACCATATTCACTGGGGTATAATTAATCTCAGAGCTAATAATGTTGCTCCATGTCATAATCATCCGCGTGCTAGAGAATTTCTTTCAAATGTTGAAGTTCGAGAACTCCAACAAATCACAATCTTCAATACTAGTCCGCCAATATTCCTTTTTTACAATGTTTTTTGGAAAGTGTTTAAATGATCTCAAAAAATGAAAATTTAGAAATTCCTTCAGACATTTATACGTGGACACAAGATCTTATAGATGGTGCCACTAAATATTATGAATCAGAATGTGACCGAGCCCAAGCATTCAGTAGAGGCTTTACACAAAATATCACAACCTTCCCAATCTTCATATTAATACCAAATATCATGACCTTCACAATCTTTATGTGTATAGAAATCATAAATGAAGAATCGCAATTTAACTCATCTGCTCTAACCTTGCTAGAAGCATTTTAGTCTTAAAAAATTCAGTAAACGCATGCGCGTTATTACGCGCAAATACGGGCTTGTTTGAATTTATTGATCATGTTGCAGATTCACGGAGTTTTCATAAAAAATATGTAATAATAATGGAAATATTCGGATAAAATTTCTTACATGGGCTGAGTAAAAATTTTGAATTACCACGTTAAAGGATATTTGTGAAAATTTTTGTTCGAGAAGGACAAGAGAAGTATAATAAACCTCTCAGAAATATGGGATGTGGTGTTTAAAGAATTTTTGGATAAACCTGAGAAATTGCAAGAACTAGCAAATCGATGTTAACAGTGCTAAGTCAGGTTTGGGTTCGTCTAAGTGGAAGGCATGCACAGGTGACAAATTGTCTTCCATAAATAAAGGGATCGTATGTATTAGAAGTTTTATTACCATTAAGTAATACAATTTCACCGTTTTGCTCTTTCGTTATTTACATGAATGATACTGTAACCGTAAATGAGGATTTAGATAATAAAGTTCACTAAAATTTCATATCGTCTTTATATTCACAAAATAAACTTTCAAGTATATTGTTGTATTAGAATTATTAAAATTGCTTTACTTTTACACAAAAAAAAGCGGATTATCTGTTAAAATTTTTCATTGTTTAAATAACTTTACTAGTACTTATTTTCATTTCGTAAGAAAAAATTTTCATAGTTCATTATATAACATTTAATGTTACTTTCTTTATCAAAAAAAAATTAGAATCAACACTATATAACGAAACAAGGATATAGAAAATTTGGAAATAAATTTTTTTCAAATATTTGCACAAAATCCAAATAATCCAAAAGTTTTTTTGAGGTTTAATTATATAGAATAAATGTTTTTATTGGTTCAAAATCGCCTTTTAATCACGTGGAATGGTTAGTTATGGGTAGGAACGT